CAGCTTCTCTGGGCACCCTGTGCCAGCGCCTCAGCACCCTCACAAGGAAGAACTTCTGCCTCAGAGCTCATCTCAGTCTCCCCTCTGGCAGGTTAAAGCCATTCCCCTTGTCTTGTTCCTACAGGCCCTTGTCTAAAGCCCCTCTCCAGGTTTCTTGTAGCCCCTTTAGGCACTGGAGCTGCTCTAAGGTCTCTCCTTAAGGAGCCTTCTCTTCTCCAGGCTGAACCAGTCCAGCTCTCTCAGCCTGTCTCCAGAGCAGAGCTGCTCCAGCCCTCATAGCATCTCCCTGTCCTCCTCTGGACTTGCTCCAGTAGCTCCATTTCCCTCTTGTAGTGTTGCCCCAGAGCTGGACACGGTGGTGCAGCCCAGCACATGTGGGTTTCTGGGCTCAAGTACACACTGCCAGGCCGTGGGGAGCTTCTTGTCAACTGACACCTCCAAATCTCTCTCAATCCAGTCTCCCTGTGATCAGGCCCCTGGGAAGTGGTGGTCCCCTCCTGTTCCCAGTAGGACATAGGGAGCCTATGGGGCTGCCATCAGGGTCTGAATCCTGCAGGGAGAGGAAAATCTGCCTTTGGTACTTGCAGCACATGGAGCTTCCTGAAGCCCTGGGAAAATCTTGGCTCGTGGCTCAGTGGTCTGCAGGGTTGTGGCAGCAGGGCTGTAAAATCCGATCAAAACAACCACTTCAGCCGTGTGCCGTCAGCATTCATCCCTGCAGCCGAGCCGCTCCCAGGGCTCCCATCAGTCCCACCGCTTGGAAGCATTGCTGTGACTCCAGTGCCTGTCGGATTCTTGGTCTGCACCACAGGGAGCAGCCTGACATTTCCCATCATTTGGAAATAGTTCTTCATCGTTATCAAATAACACGGGATCCTTCTGATTTGCTTCCTCCCACCCGCAGTGGCAGCCCCCCACCCTGCATCAATGTGCCTATTGTTCTATTGCTGATTAAGCCAAGTGCACCCGGCCTGGTGGAAAGTCCTTTATGGAAGGAGGATCTTGATAAGATACTGGAATCTGGTCTGTCACGGCTGTGCACGGGCAGTTAAAAAGTAAATAACATGGACAAATAGGCTGTGATGTACAGGCGGGGGAAAAGATTTCCAGTGTCATCCGGGATTGCACGGATCGGTACGGTTTGAGGGGCTTAAGAAGACACGGGCTTTCTAGGAGGGCAGAGTACATGTGCCTTAGAAGC